GGGGGGGGGGGGTTAGCAGTGCAATAAAGTCTATAATATAAAATATGCAAGTATTTTGTGGCCAGTGTGTAGACCTAATCCTCTTGGAGGCTGTTATCAAGAATTACAGAATTTCAGAAAAAGAGAAACACTAGGTCATATATATACAGGGTATATTTGGAAGAGGTACCCCTTCAAGTGGTGTAAAATATAGTAAAAATCATCTGTTTATCTGACCACGTTTTTAACATGCTTTGTTTACTGACTTGCCATTGGAAGGTAAACACAAGTTTAATCTGCAAGTCTTGTCACTAAGGGATGTACCTCTGAGGAAATCCTTTTGTGGAAGAAAAAGAGATTTTTTTTTATTTTTTATTTTTTATTTTTTATTTTTTTTTTATTTTTTTGCAATTCATTTGATTTATCCCAGATTTGGGATACAGAGTAGATAACTAGAAACTTTGCAATAAAAACCACAATAAATTATACATATTATAACACATCCAACAAATAATGAGTTTTGGGCTATGACTGTGGACTCTGGAGATCAGGGTTTGAGTCCCTTCTCAGTCATGGAAGCCCACTGGGTAACCCTGAGTCTCAGCCCCAAAAAATCCCATGGTGGGGTCCCTTTAGAGCCTCCATAATCAACAACAACTTGAAGGCACACAACAATGACAACAACAACAACAACAACACGTATCCTACCATGGAGATCCAAGTTGAAGGAATACACAGTTGTCTATATTATCTAATAGCAATAGCAATAGCAAGAACATTTCTATACAGCTTATCAGTGAACTAACACTCTCTAATGCAGGGGTAGGCAACCTTTTTGAGCCGGGGGCCGGGTTGCTGCCCCTCAGACAATTGGTGGGCCGAAGCACCAAAAATAAATAAATAAATTATATATATATGCACACTCTCTCAGCCCCAGAAAAGCCATGGCAAACCCCCTGTGGAGATTTTGCCAAGAAAACCCCAAGAACAAGTAATAACAGCAATAATCAATATCATCATGGCGGGCGGCGGTGGCAGGACTGGCCTAGGGCCGGTCCAAAGGCTTTGGGGGGCTGCATCTGGCCCCTGGGCCTTAGGTTGCCTACCCCTGCTCTAATGGTTTACAATGCCCCCCCCCCCCACAAGCTGGGTACTCATTTTACCAACCTACAAAAGGATGGAAGGCTGAGTGGACCTTGAAGCCCTGCCTGGGATTGAACTCACAACCTTGTGGCTATAGTACTGACATTTAACTACTATGCCACCAAGGCTTCTTCAAATTACTGTTAAAAGCTAACTTCTATTTCTCAAATATAACTAGGGGTTATATAACTAGGGGAAATATAACTCTCAAATATAACTAGGATATTTTTAATTCACTGAGTGGAGCGGCACAAGGCACAACACTTAAACCATGTGATATTCCTTCACTGTTTAGTGAAGCTGCAGTTCTGTAACTCTAAAACTCTTAATAAACTAAAGTTGTGTCACACATTTGGTGACCTTGCAGACTGCTAGAAATAGTGCAAATCGAGTCCAGTTTAACTGCCCTGGCTCAGTGCTAGGGAATCATGGGAATTGTATTTTTTTCTGAGACATTGAGCCTAACCTGTCAGAGAGCTCTGGTGCCACAATAAACTACAGCTCCCATGATTCCCTAGCATTGAGCCAGGGCAGTTAAAGTGGACTCAATTTGCACTATTTCTGGCAGTCTGCAAAGGCCCTTAGTTACAATAGTAATGCAACATTAGTTATACCATTGTTTTGGGGAGGAGGCCCAAATGATAAGCAAGTTGTTATTTGTAACTTCGAAGCTATGATTAATGAATCCAAAGCTGAATAGAGATACAAGCCTAGATCTCAGGCACGCTTGTCCTGGGATAAATTCATGAATGAGTGCAGAGACAAACTTCTTAAAGGGCAAACTCTGGGAAGGGACTTAACTTGGCAGTCAGGAATTTGCCCCCTGGCACAAAGTTCTCTTGCCCATGGTACAAACACTGGTATTTAGATTGTCTTTTCTCTGTCATCAACTGATAATGAGTGGTGATTCCTGGGGTCAGGCAGGAAGAAGCCCTTAACCTACCCACTTTACAACATGCTTTATCAGTTCCTGCAGCGGAAGAGGCAACTGGCTTTCAGAAATAGTCCCAGTACATGATTTCTAGGAGAGCATGTCAGCACATCCTCAAAATTCAATTGCACCTTCTCTTAAATTCTCTCTGGACTCAGCCTAATCGTGTATTTTTCCATTTCCAATGTGGATTCATGATACCAGCTTCTTTTCCTAATAACATTTCCAGTTGGCAAGCAATGGAAATCTACAGGGGAGGGAGGCTGCTCAAACTGAGGGCCTTTGCAGACTGCCAGAAATAGTGCAAATTGA